TCGAGATGGGCGTCCAAGGCCCTGGCATCCTTATCGCGCATCCTTATGATACGGGCCGGCTGTAGGTGCCTTGCAGCTCTCCAGCGGGTGAAAAGGAATGCACCGCAAGGATGTGATGACCATTCAGTTCAGCGAGGTGTTCAGCGATACCTTCCGTTCTGAAAGCAGAATAGTGCCCCCCTCCCATCCGTGTGGCCATTGCGCAAGCTTTCACCTCTGACATTGGGCGTCGAGCAAGTCTCAATCGAGGTCCCCATGTTCAGTTCAAAAGGAGCCGACCTCCCTGCGTAGAGCTGTACCATCTGGTGGCAGGTGGAGGCCCTGGTCTCACATGTCAAGAAGTCTCGAGCGAATGCCCAAGTTTGCAAAGGAAGCGCTCTGTATCCCTGCAACTCACGTTTTGCCCTGACAGGATTTCGATCTCTTCACCGAAAGCCCAGATTGAAGCTTGCAAGACGAGCGTGCGCAGCGCTACGGCGAGAGCTCCATTTTGACCACGGCCCAACCTCCATCCTGGAAGCTGGCGCAAACTGTTAAAAACGATTGTGCGCTGCGTTGCGGCGAGAGCTCCATAAATGGCCCACCCTCTATCTTTGAAGCTGTTGCAAACGTTTCGGACCATTGTGCGCGGCGCTAGGGCGAGAGCACCATTTTGAATACGACCCGCCCTCCATCCTTGACGCTGTTGTAATTTCTAAGCCTCAACTTCGTAAGATCGCAGGCTGCACGCCCGGCCCGCCGTGCCGACACGCCTGGGGGGTCGGACAGCGAGAGGAGGAGGGAACTGGAGGACGAGAAGGAGGAGGAGGAGCAGGAGGAGGAGGAGCAGGGGGACGATGACGAGCGTGCAGGTATCCGATCCGCCTGGGCCTCCAGCACGCGAACCTCCTCCCCGAGCAGCAGAACGGACTGCCGACGAACGAGACCACACTGCCCCGGCTCCTTCATACCTCCTCCTGCAGCTCCTCATCCTGCTCTAGCTCCGCCTCCTCCCCCTCCTCCTCCTCCTCCTCCTCCTCCTCCTCCTCCTCGTCCTCCTCCCCTTCCTCGTCCTCCTCCTCCTCCGTAGCCATTTTGGCTCAAGCCATGTTGGCTCAAGGCCAAAATGGTGATTCATCACTGCATCAGCGGGGCGCACTGAAATTTCGCGCGCCCAAAGTCCTGCTTTACAGCAGGCGCCACGTGGCTCCCCGCGGAGCCGCTTCATGCCTGACGGGCCCAAGACCCCGAAAAAGGAGAAGAAGGAGAAGAAACATAAGCGCCATGCATCACGTGACCCCTCGGAAGTTTCTGGCCATGACGGTCGCAGTGCGGTTGCTGCTGCCAGCGGTTCTCTTCAGCTTCCTCGCGTTGCTGGCTCTGTGCCCATGGCAGACATCGACAATCATGGGAGCCAGGCCCTGCTCGCCGAATTCCGCAAGCTGGTCAACGCCGAGGCCTCGGCATCCATCAGCGAGAAGCTCGACTCGCTCTCCGGCGCCATCTCCAAAGATATGGAGTCCAAGGTCACCTCTTATGTGGCTGATGCGCTGGCACCACCTTTTGCCAGTCTCGACGGGCTACGTCGAGGACTGGCTGCTGTCCCCGCACTGGTGGAGGCGCCGCTTCTCGCCAAGGCACAGGAGAGTGTCGCCACACACTTCAGGCGCTACCAGGACCAGGTCGACAAGCTCAACCTGCGAGTGCAGGCCAACTCCCCCGCCATCCGCGAGCACGAGTCGGCAATCTCTGAGCTTCGCCGTGAAGGCCAACTCCTCAAGAGCGAGATGGGGGTGGCCAGCGACACTGCCAGGGTCGTCGACATCTCCGTATCGGGCTTCAGCCGCGAGACCGACCCCAGGTTGGTACGCATCTATTCCATTGCTCCTGTGCTTGAGCTTGACGTTAAGAAACTGGCCTCCGATTTCCTCAACGAGCTGGGCATCGCGCCGGCGGACAAGTACGCGGTCAAAGGTAAGAGCGTTGGCCAGCACTTCGAGACATCCTTCGGCGGTGCGCTGGTTCCTGTGCCCCGCTTGGTGGCCAAGGTTCTGGGTGGCCTGCACAAGGGCGGCAACTGGCGCCAGTTCTCTGTGGTCTTACCTGCTGATGGCCTCGCCAGGCTACACTTCGGACCTGACAAGTCGCCGCGCCAGATCGCAACCGAAGTCCGCGGCAAAAAGATCAAGCACGAGCTCGCCCAGAAGTGCGGTGGCACCAGGTTCTTCGACCGCGAGCGCGCCGTCATCACCCGCGACTGGGTCGATGTCGCCAAGATCGAGGCCCAGCCTCAGAGAGCTCCTGCGAAGCTACACTTGCACCGAGACTTCTTCGAGGACTCGTCGTTAAACCAGCAGGGTTTGATGGATGCGTTGCAGCCTGTGGTGTCTGGCGGCCGCGTGGAGCCCGACTGGTGCCTACTTCGAGCCGCTGGTGCACGAGCTTTGGCAGGGCGGGGCAGACGATCCTCTTGCTCGTCTTTCGTTCTCGGCGTGGAATTCCAGCGCCCTCCTCCAATGCAAGGGTGCCAAGGCTAACATTAAGACTTCCTACCTGCGCGCGCTGCGCCCTGACCGATCTGTTCTGGCACTGCAAGAAGTTCACGGCAGCCGTCTCCAACTTGCTCGCTTCGTTCATCAGGTCGCCCCTGGGGTACTGGTGAAGTCCTCCTTCATGCCTGGGCCACATGGTGCTCGCCGCGGTGGTGTAGCTACGCTGCTTCCTCCTGGCGTTCCGTGGGGCGACTGCTCTGTCGCTGATGTGCTGTTCCCTACGTCTCCACATCACTTTCGGCTTGGCCACTCTGTATCACTACAATGTCCATGACCATTGCTTGAATGCGTCGCAGAAACGCATAGTGACGAACCAGCTTGCACGAAACCGGCGTGAGGTCGAGCTTGCGCCCGACAAAGAGTCTCTTCGTGGTGGTGGGCGACTTCAATTATGCACTAGTGGACGATCGACCGCTTCATCTCCCGCAAGTGGCGCGACCCTCTGGGCATCTTCGTGCCGTGGCGCCTCGTTGGCGAGAGGCTGTGGGGTCGCTGGTTGAGATCCGAGTGGGTTACGGCACGCGCTACACGGCCGCTACCAACACCGTCTCCCTCATCGATCGCTGCTTTGTGGCGCTCCCTGGACGGATGCAGCGTCAACTCCACCTGCGCGCTGTGCTTCGTCAGACTCTCGGGCGGGTCTCCGAGCGGAAGATCAGCGACCGCGCGGCGGTGGCAGTTTTTATGCAACCCAAAGCTCGTCGTGACCCACGGCGTTTGCCGATTGCGAACCACGCGCTGGCCTCCACGACGAATAAGAAGCCTTACCTCGACCTCTCCCACCTCGCCGCCTCTGGCGCTCGAGGAATGCAAGAACTTCCTGAAGGACATCGCGCGTCTGGCGCGCGACCAGCGCGTCTTCGCCGATCCGCTGCATCTTGTTACGCTGCTACAGCTTGCACGCTCTATGGCGAGAGCGGCGTGTAGAAATGGGCCTGAGCTTGCCGAGCGTCTGCTTCGCTCGCGCCCTGCCACCAAGGACTTCCTGCTCATTGACGGACGCCAGGTGCGCCTGCACAAGGTTGGGGGCTTCCTTGCTTGGACCGGCGGGGCGCAGTGGTCTGCGGCCGAGCGCCGCCAACGTGATCTTCACGCACTTCTCGAAGCTCAACCTCAGCATGGACGAGCTGCCCAGCTTCGCGGTCACTGGCAAGCGACTACTCGGATGATGATGATCTGGGCGCCGAGAAGCAAGACACTCCGCCTCCTTGGCATCGTCCTGGATGACGGTTCCGCGCTCACTGACGCCTTGGTCATGTTCTGCGCGAAGATCCAGTATTGGGCTCCCGTTTTCACCGCCAAGCCCCGCGAAGAAGCCCCAGGCTTGCGCTATCTCGATCGGCTGGGACCTGCTGCCGAGCTTCGGCATTTGCCTCCTCCTACTTTGCAGGATGTGCGGCGCGCGCTCCTTCATGCTCGTCCTGCCGCTCCTGGGCTTGATGCGCTGCATTATGCCGCGTGGCAAGCGCAGGAGCGTGGTGCCCAATTGCTTTTTGACGCGGTTCAATGGCAACTTCAAGGTCATCTTTCGCTGGCGAGCTCTACTGACATGCTCCAGGTGTTCATGCCCAAGGGCGCTGGTCCCGCCGACGTGAATCCTGAAGGTTGCCTTCGCACGGCTGCCAACCTCCGCGCGCTCGGCCTCCGCGGCGCGGGCGTGAAGATTTATGGCGGCCGCCATCAATTTCTCGCTGAAAAAGGTGGCTGCGATCGTAGTCCCACGGGCGCAGCGAGGCTTCGTCGCCCAGCGCACTTTATGACCAGCATCCTGGAGCTGGACGTTGCTGCCCGCGCCTGCAGTGCACGAGAGGATGCCCATGAACTTTTGTCTGTGCTGTCCTCGCTGGATGTGGCGCCGGCGTTTCCGTCGCTGGCACTGGGCTTCTATGTTCGATGTTCTTCGTCGGATTCGTCTTCCTCCGCCTCTGCTGGCCTGTCTTGAAGTCTTCGACCAGCTCATCTTGGGCTGGCTTATGATGGATTGGGAACTTGCCCCGGGTTTGATTATCTTGTCTGGTATTGCGCAGGGCTGCCCGACGTCGGGTTCGCTGTTCGCCATTTCCACCGCGCCATTTGCACAGGACCTGCCGAATACGATTGGCTTGCGCCATCGCAGCGGTGTGCGCTGGTGCGCTGGCGACATCGGCGGCGTGCTGTGCGCGCTGCGGGTTCTCCTTGCCATCTTCAGAGTGCTCGATATTGCAGCAAGGATTGTCACGCTGACCATCGAGCCCTCCGAGTGCAGCATAACGCCCTTGGCCGATGCCTTCTCGGAGTCGCTGAAGAGCCTGGTGCGCGATGCCGTTGGCCTTCTGCTACCGCAAGGGCCCGATTTTCAAATAGTGCCCGTGCTCAAGTACCTCGGCCATTGGCCTGGTCCTTCAACAGACGATCATCTTCAATTTCGGGATCCGGTGGCGAAAGTGATTTCGAGAAGCGTGGCCCTTGGTCGTAGCTCTGCTCCTGCTTCAGCGTTGGCGCACTACTACTCGTCTAATGTATGTCGTGCTTGTCCTACGTGGCGCAACTGGTACCTTTGCCTGCGGATTCTCGTCAACGCGAGCTGGGCATCCTGGCTTCCACCTTTCGCCTGCCGCTGGGAGCGCTTCAGCGAGCACGAGATCTTCGGCTTCGCGACTGGGGTGGGCCGCGGATTGCATCATGGAGTTCGGCCGCGACTGCGGCCATGATCCGAGCAGCACGGGCGACCTTCGGCGATGTCGTTGAGCCGCTCTTCTGCAAGTTCCAGAAGGAGGAACACGAGCAGATCTTATCCTTGCCTGTGACCATGCTGAACTCTGCGGCGGAGGTGGCCATGCTCTACCCGCCCTTCTGGGCCGTGCCGAGCTTCGTTGCACGCCTGCATGCTGTGCGGGGGTGCGCGCGCGGTGCCCTGGCCTTTCTGCCCCTCGTCTCTTGCGCGCTGGACGCGGAGCTCAAGGGCGCGCGCTGGTCGAAGCTGAGCTGCCCCCAGATCCTCGTCTTCCTGCTTCTCTGGTGCCTCCTCATAGCAGCGCGACCTTGGGAGGGCAAATTTGGGAGGCATCACGTCGTGGCCAAGGAGTGCCTCAACGAAAGCCGAAGTGGCAGCGCGCCGTCAACGAGGCCCTGCTCGAAGAGCTTTCCACGTCATCTACGATGCCGAGCTGGGCAATGGGAACTGCGTTGAAGTGGTGGCCGCAGGATCTGCCTCTCCTCTCGACGGTGAACTGGGATCTGAAGATGGCGGCCCTGCTCCAGCTGCCGACCTCGTGGGCATGGCTGGCAAGGAGATCTCGGGGCAACGCCTGGATGACATCCTGGAGGATCCTTGGTGACAAAGGGCGCCGCGCCTGCCTATTCGGGCGCCCGCGGGAGGAGGACCGCTTGAAGCACTATGTGGCATGCCCGACGTTCTGGCGTGCAACAAGGATGGCCCTCGCTATTTCTGCTGCTGAGATGCCCGTTCATCGGCTTGATCGGCTTTGTCCTCGCCGTCCGCTTCTTGACCACTACTACGAGTGCCTGGTCGTGGCCTACACGACCTACCACAACATCAGGGGCTGTGAGGCAGAATTCGCCTTCGACGACCGCGTGGAGCACCTGAAAGCTTCCGTGAGAGGCCTCCGCCTAGCCCGCCGCGCGCCCGCGGTCTAGGCGCCCGGAGGAGAACAGTGGCGCCAAGGCACGGGGCGTCCCTCCTCCTCCTCCTCCTCCTCCTCCTCCTCCTCTTCCTCCTCCTCCTCCTCCTCCTCCTCCTCCTCCTCCTCCTCCTCCTCCTCCTCCTCCTCCTCCTATCCTTATTCCTTATTAGAATATACTCCTACTCCCCCCCCAGGCCGGCAGATAGGGGCCCCATCCGGGTGGTCCCATCCTAACCTGTAAAAAAACAATACAACATCAACATTTTTCTTATTTTTTCCTCTCGACATGGACGTCCTGTCGTCCACGGCGATAATCCATTGCAGAAAATACCACAAAGAGCACACGCGCGCGTTCATGTCAGAATCCTACCGAACACCGTGTGTTTGCAAGCATTTCAACATAAAAACATCAAAAACCCAATGCTTTTTCACAAAAAATCTACACATTTCCTGCCCGGGCTCTCTTGCTGAAATCATAGGAAAACCATAGGAATCTTAAGAATTCGGTCAAATCCAGCGATTTCACGTCATCGCGCGGTGCACTCGCGATGCTCTGTCATGCACCCAGGCCGCGAATCCTGTGCAAAAAATACCACGCGGGCGACATGCGCGCGCGTCGCCGCGAGCGCATGCTCAAATCCTTCTAGAGTCGTCGCCGTCATTGGCACCGTCGCATGGACGTCCTGTCGTCCACGTCGCAAAATGCATGGCAGGAATGGGACCCGGCTTACCGGGCCGTTCTCGACACGGCCACCTCTGGCTTCCTGCGGTGTACCGGGCCATTCTCGACTCGTCTGGCAATGCGTGCGCGGCATTCAACACGCGCTCGCCAGTTCCCGTCGGCAACCGCCATCGCGGCCGCATCAGCTGTACCAAACCGGCTGGCCGGTGTGACTTCGGCCCCCAGTTGTGCCAGCTTTGCTTCTTATGTTGTGGGAGGGCGGGTGGGACTGGGCATGCCATGCTTGATTCGTTCGAGCTGGCTAGCTTGACTCCTACTCCTACTCCTGCTCCTGCTCCTGCCCCTGCCCCTGTCCACGAGACCTTCCTGCAAGCCATACGCGGCTCCGCGAGAACCTGGCCACTACCCCCCGCTCGGGTGTGGTCGGCCACCAAACTGCGGACGGACGCACGGACGACACCGTGCAGAATGCACGTCCTGCACGGAGATGGCCACTGCCACTTCGGCTGCGGCGCGGGCGAGGGCAGCGTCCAGCTCCAGCACGGCACGAGCTGCGCGAAGGCGTGGCACCAGCCGAGCCCGCCGTGCGGCCTTCTGAGCGGCGAGCGCTCGAGTCTGACTTCCTCAAGCAGTGGCGAAGCGTCCTGGCTCGCCTACGTATAACCCTACCAAACAATAGATTGAGAACCTTTTGTGGTTTCCACGACAATGTTCTTAGAACATGTCTGGCGGATATTGTCTTGTTTGAACACATCGGGACGGTCGGTCCCTGCTCAAGTTCCACGGCGCGGACGGGATGCCGAGCGCGGCGGCCCGGATGTCCGCAGGCCACGCGCGTCTACCACATGACGAACGACGACTCGCCCCTCGATCCCCCGCAGCAGGCAGCTGTCTGCCGTCGGTGCCGCCCGCTACGACCTAAGGCCAGAGCCTGGCCTCTCGGGCGGAGCGGGGCTGCGCCGAGGCTAGAGGGCTGTTGAACGTCCCATCGGCGACGTTCGCTCCTCCTTCTACTCCTTACCCTCTGCTTCCCCTCCTCCTGCCCCTCCTCCTGCTCCTCCTCCTCGCCCTCCTCCTCCTCCTCCTCCTCCTCCTCCTCCTCCTGCTCCCTCCATCCCTTACCGTCCCTTCATCCCTCCCTCCTCCTGCCCTCCTGCTCCAGATCCTTCTCTGCCTCCCCAGTGTATGCGCGGAAGCTCCCCCCAAATACTTGCCTCCCTCGAGGGATCCTCCGCGGCAGCCAGAAGGGGCTCGCCCGCAAGTGCGCGAGGCCGTCGACTTCGGCGACGGGCGTCCCATGCCGCCTCGATTCGAGGCGCGGTGGTCCAGGCGTGGCGGGAAGATAGGAGGGGGGAGCAGGGATGAGATAGGCAAGCGGCGGGCAAGGGCGGTTGGCCCGAAGGGGGCGACAAGGCCTAGCAGGGGCCGTCGTACGATGTTGGTGTGTGGCGGGGCCAGCGCAACAGATGCACCAATGGGTGTGGTTGAGGTGACGGTAGCTGTACCAAAAGTACCTGCCACTGCGGCAGTCGAGGATGTAGCCAGTAGGGGAAGACGGAGCCGTGGTGGTGGTGGTGGTGGTGGCCGCTGTAGCGGCGGCGACGATTACTTACACCGAGCGGCCTGACTGCCCTATGGCGCTTAACGCGGGATGCCCTCTTCACCAACCTCTTCCTCGGCTTCATCTCTCTCTCTCTCTCTCGACGACGACGACGAGGACGACGAGGAGCGAGACCTCCCTGCCCAGGCTCCTGCAAGGCCAAGGCTACGTCACGTACGGCGTTGGCAAGTGGCACCTGGGACACTGGAGAAAGGACTCCACGTCCTCCTTCTCCTTCTCCTCCTCCTCCTCCTTCTCCTCCTCCTCCACCTCTCATCTTCTTCCCCTGTCCTGGTCCTCCACCACTACCCATCCCCCCTTGCCCCTCCTCGCTCTTCCTCGTCCCGCGTCCCCCCTCCTCCTCCTCCACCTCCTCCTCCTCCTCCTCCTCCGCCTCCTCTAGGAGGAGGAGGAGGAGAAATAGGAGGAGAAGGAGGAGGAGGAGGGGGAGGAGTGGGAGGAAACGGTAGGAGGCGGAGCAGGATCGGCAGGAGGTGGAGGCGGATACGAGAGGACCTCATCCCGACATGGAGGGGCTTCGACCGGTGGTATGGCTTCTTGGAGGGCGCGCAGGACCACTTCAACCACACGGACCGGTGCGGCGACCACGTTGGCCTGGACCTGTGGGAGGACGACCAGCCAGACACAACTCAGAGAGGCGTGTATTCCACGCACCTCTTTACTTCGAAGGCGGTGGAGTTCATCAAGAGCCACATGAGGCGTGCGATCCCGTCCCCGTTCTTTTTGTACCTGTCGTATTCTGCCGTGCACACGCCTCTTCAGGCACCCGATGAGGCGGTTGCTCGCTTCTCGCACCTGGGCGACAAGAAGCGGAGGGTGTACGCAGCAATGCTTTCCGTCATGGACGAGGGCATCGGCAACGTGACCAAGGCCATCCAGGATAGGGCGACGAGATCTATGCATATCCACTGCTCCTGGCCAGGCCCATCCTGGGCCCAGGAGCGGTGTATATGCCTCCCTGGCCAAGCCAGGAGGGCGTATACACAGCTCTTGGGCCCAGGATTGGCCTGGCCGGGAGCAGTGGATATGCATAGATCTCGTCGCCCTACCAGGAGGTCGATGGGCTGCTGGAGTCCACCATCCTGATCTTCTTTAGCGACAACGGTGGGCCCACCCAGGAGGGGGCCAGCAACTGGCCCCTGCGCGGCTGGAAGGGCAGCCTGTGGGAGGGCGGAGTCCGAAGCCAGGCTTCGCTGGGGGGGGGGGGGGGGGGAGGAGGCGGAGGAGGAGGAGGAGGAGGAGGAGGAGAGGAGGAGGAGGAGGAGGAGAAATATGAGGAGGAGGAGAGGAGGAGGAGGAGGAGGAGGAGGAGGAGAAATAGGAGGAGGATGAAAGGAGGAGAGGAGGAGGAGGAGGCGGAGGAGGAGGAGGAGGAGGAGGAGGAGCAACAGGAGGAGCAGGAGGAGCAGGAGAAGCAGGAGGAGGAGCAGGAGGAGGAGGAGGAGGAGCAGGAGGAGGAGGAGGAGGAGGAGGAAGAGGAGGAGGGGGGGGGTAGGGTCGGCGCGCGAAGGGGGGGGGGGGGCGGAACGGGAGCCACGGCGGCGCCTCTCAGAGAGGAGCCACAAGATGCCGATATCGCCACTCTGGGTTTCTTCATGAGCGTGGGGGGGGGTCCCCCCCGACGGGGGTCAACCTCGCCTTGCCGTCGCGCCGCGACCAGGGGTCGGGGCGCCCTCGCTCCCCGGTGGCTGCCCGCGGCGGGGGTCGATGCGGGGCTGTCGGCGGGGGTGACGCTCCCACGACGCTTATTAAGAAACTCGGAGTACTCCCCGGACCTCTCCCGGGGTGCGTCTTGACCAGAATCTTCGAGGCGAGTCCAGCGGTGGCGACGAGGGCCTCCCAGGAGGCCGAAAGAGGAAAAACGGGCGAAGGGTAGCGGTATGGGTACCTCCCCTTCCTCTGACCACCTCCTTTTGGCGGCGAGCCCGGGGGGAAGTGAGAAGGGCCGGACCTTCTCAGAAGGGTCGGAAGTCCCCCGACCTTTGAGAAGTTTTCTGAGCCTTCCCCGAAGACACACTCCACCTCTCAGAAGGCGCGAGGGCTTCAGAGAAGTCCCGCCGCCTTCTGAGAAGGCCTTCTCCTTCTCACCTCCCCCCTCGCTCGCCGCCGATCCTCAGCCCTCGCGGAGAAGCGCTTCACTGCCGAAGAGCTCCCTGCTCTCCTGGGAGGCCGCCCCTGTCGCCCCACCCTTGCTGCGCGCCGCCCAGAGGGGGAAGGACAGGGAGGAGAAGGAGGAGGAGGAGGAGGAGGTGGAGGAGGAGGAGTAGAAGGAAGAGCAGGAGGAACAGCAGGAGGAGGAGCAGGAGGAGGAGGAGGAGGAGGAGGAGGAGGAGGTGGAACGTTTTGGAACGTTTTGGCAAGCAGCTTCGTGCAACGGAGAGAGGGGAGGAGGAGAAAAAGAGGCAGACACCCGAGCCGACACCCCCGCGTCCGCTGCTCCGCAGAGCGCGGACGCCCCCTGGCCCCTACACCCCCCTCAGAAGGCGGGTGGGGTGAAGGCCCCGCCAGGGACGGGGTGGGTGCCGAGTTGGGCCTGCCAGAGGAGGAGGCCATGGCTACAGGCGAGCCTGCGCCGCAAGGGGCGCGCTTGCGCTCCCGTGCGCGCTCCCTCTGCTCGGCAGAGGGCTGAGATTCTCGCCTCTCGAAGCACAGCAACGGCCTTCGACGGCCCCGCGTACGAGGAGAATCACACATTCCTGCGAATTCGACCTAAGTTCTAGACGCTTCGCATATCCCCACCAGTTATGCCTTCCGCTCCCTGTCCGCTGCCTCGGAGCCGCCGACCAAAAAAAGTATTCCCACCAGCGCCCTGCAGCTAAGTAGGTTTGTTCGTAGGCCCGGACAACTTCTCTCGTCGCCTGTGCTCTTCGCTCGCGGCCGCGACCAAAAAAGTATCCCCACCAGCCCATCCAGAAACGATGCCAAAGGGAGTTGAGGTGATCAGGCGAATGCGGGAGCAAAGGGGTCGAACCGTGCGAAGGAAGGAGGAGGAGAAGGAGGCTGGATGGATGTATGAGGGAATGGGGGACGAAAGATGAATAGGAGGAGCAGGATGAGGAGGAGGAAGAGGAAGACGAGAAGAAGTAGGAGGAGGAAGGATGAGCAGGAGGAGGATGGCAAGCATCAGAGCCAAGCTGATAAGGAGGAGGAGGAGGAGGAGAATGAGGATGAGGAGGAGGAGGAGGAGGAGGAGGAGGAGGAGGAGGAGGAGGAGGAGGAAAGAGGGCGAACGGAAACGCCATACGCCTCTTGAATGACTCTCGGAGTCTCCTCTGGTGTCACTTGGAAGTGAAAAGGAGGAGGAGGAGGAGAAGGAGGAGGAGGACGAGGAGGAGGAGGCGGGGGAGAGAGAGAGAGAGAGAGAGAGAGAGGACGAAGGAGGGAGGAGGAGGAGGCGGAAAAGGAGGAGGAGGAGGAGGAGGAGGAGGAGGAGGAGGGGAGGAGAACGAGGAGGAGGAGGAGGAGGAGGAGGAGGAGGAAGAACACATGACGATCAGAACAGCCTCCTCGGATGGTTCTTGTTTTTCTGGGGGGGGGGGCTCTTGCAGCGTCTGGGGGGGCAGCTTGGGTGCCTCAGGGATCCTCTTGAAGCCTCTTGGGGGCCTCTTGGGAGCCTCTTGGAGGCCTCTTGCGTGCCTCTTGGGGCCGTCTGGGCGCCTCTTGGGGCCCTCTTGGGGCGATCTTGGGAGCCTTGGATACGCTCTTGGGGCCATCTTGGAGGACATCGATCAAACAACCGAGGTTCCTTAATTCGCGCTGCCCCTCTAGAGTCTTTTAACTCGCCTCTTGGGGCGCTCTTGGAGCGCTCTCGGGCGCTTTGGAGGCCGTCTTGAGGCTCTCTTGGGCCGTCTTGGAGCCATCTTGAGGCCTCGGATGGCCATCGTAAGCGAAAAGACAAGAAGGCAACACTCATTGGTTTCCTTTGGTGTTGGAAGGATTTGGGCCTCTTGGCGGCCTTCTTGGATGTCTCGGAGGCCTCTTGGAGCCGTCTTGGAACCTTCTTGAGTATTATTGAGTCTTCTTGTAGCATCTTGGAAGCCATCTTGAGGCATCTCGGGCTATCTTGAGCCATCTTGGAGGTCATCTTAGGCTCTCAGAGGCCCTCTTGGAGCCTTCTTGGGCCACCTTAGAAGCTCTCACCGCTCGCGACCGCCCCCGTCCAGGTCCAGGGGAGGGGGCAGGGGGAGGGGTCCCGAAGGGGACGACGGGGATTGGAAGAGGAAGCACTTTCGACCACCTTACGCCCTAAAGGGCTGGTGGGCTTCTCGAGGCCTTTTCGTGTGGGTGCCTGGCACACGGGCACCAACTGGCGCCCATCGACGGTCGCCGTCCTACCCTACACAAATACTGGAGCGTGTTTCTTTTTTGCATGGCGCATCATCGGCATTCTAGCTCCCTCCCCCCCCCCCTATAACGTAACGCCCCTCTCCCCCCCCCCAGTGCGCTCCGGGCACTGCCGCCGTGCGCATCGGGCGGCGGGGGGGAGGCGTTACATTATACCCCCCTCCCCGGGGCCCCCTCCCGCCCACGAGAATGCGATAGTGCCCGCTATCGTCGAGGAGGAAGAAGCGCGCTCCTGGCAGAAAGACGCACTGTGCACATCCCAGAAGTCGGGAGGCCAGCCCGTGGGAAGGAGGCAGAGCCGCTCCGCCGACATTCTGCGGGCCCAGCGAACCGAGACGGCACCATCGGGCGGAGGGAGGGACAGCCCCTGGGGCAGGGATGCCGGGAGCTCGAGGGGCCGGCGTTCTTGTCGCACAGCAGTTCGCACGCTCGCAACGACCGGACGAGCCGAAGGAGCAGGAGGAGGTGGATGATGATGCTGATGATGATGATGATGATGGTGATGATGATGATGACGATGATGATGACGATGATGACGATGGTGATGATGATGATGATGATGGTGATGGTGATGATGATGCTGGTGATGGTAATGGTGATGGTGATGGTGATGATGATGCTGATGGTGATGATGACGATGCTGATAATGATGATGATGCTGATGGTGATGATGACGATGCTGATGATGGTGCTGATGCTGATGCTGATGATGATGATGCCGCTGATGCTGATGATGATGATGCTGATGATGGTGGTGGTGATGGTGGTGGTGGCGATGATGGTATTGATGATGATGATGATAATATTGATATTGATGATGATGATGATGATGATGACGGTGGTGGTGGTGGTGGTGATGATGCTGCTGATGCTGATGCTGCTGATGATGATGATGACGACGATGATGATGATGATGATGATGATGCTGGTGATGGTAATGGCGATGGTGATGGTGATGATGATGCTGATGGTGATGATGACAATGCTGATGATGATGCTGATGCTGATGATGATGATGATGCTGATGCTGATGCTGATAATGTTGAGGATGGTGCTGATGCTGATGCTGATGATGATGATGCCGCTGATGAAGATGATGATGATGCTGATGATGGTGGTGGTGATGGTGGTGGTGGTGGCGATGATGGTATTGATGATGATGATGATCATATTGATATTGATGATGATGATGATGATGATGATGATGATGGTGGTGGTGGTGATGCTGCTGCTGATGCTGATGCTGCTGATGATGATGATGACGACGATGATGATGATGATGACGATGCTGGTGATGGTAATGGTGATGGTGATGGTGATGATGATGCTGATGGTGATGATGACGTTGCTGATGATGCTGATGCTGATGCTGATGATGATGCTGATGCTGATGCTGATAATGTTGATGATGGTGCTGATGCTGATGCTGATGATGCCGCTGATGAAGATGATGATGATGATGCTGATGATGGTGGTGGTGATGGTGGTGGTGGTGGCGATGATGGTTTTGATGATGATGATAATATTGATATTGATGATGATGATGATGGTGGTGGTGGTGATGATGCTGCTGCTAATGCTGATGCTGCTGATGATGATGATGACGACGATGATGATGATGATGATGATGGTGCTGGTGATGGTAATGGTGATGGTGATGATGATGATGCTGATGGTGATGATGACGATGCTGATGATGATGCTGATGATGATGATGCTGATGCTGATAATGTTGATGATGGTGCTGATGCTGATGATGATGATGATGCCGCTGATGAAGATGATGATGATGCTGATGATGGGTGTGGTGATGGTGGTGGTGGTGGCGATGATGGTATTGATGATGATGATGATGATGATGATGTTGATGTTGATGATGATGATGATGATGATGATGATGATGATGATGATGGTGGTGGTGGTGATGATGCTGCTGCTGATGCTGGTGCTGATGATGATGATGATGACGACGATGATGATGATGCTGGTGATGGTAATGGTGATGGTGATGGTGATGATGATGCTGATGGTGATGATGACGATGCTCATGACGATGCTGATGCTGATGATGATGATGATGCTGATGCTGATAATGTTGATGATGGTGCTGATGCTGATGCTGATGATGATGATGATGATGCCGCTGATGAAGATGATGATGATGCTGATGATGGTGGTGGTGATGGTGGTGGTGGTGGCGATGATGGTTTTGATGATGCTGGTGATGGTAATGGTGATGGTGATGGTGATGATGATGCTGATGGTGATGATGACGATGCTGATGACGATGCTGATGCTGATGATGATGATGATGCTGATGCTGATAATGTTGATGATGGTGCTGATGCTGATGCTGATGATGATGATGCCGCTGATGAAGATGATGATGATGCTGGTGATGGTAATGGTGATGGTGATGGTGATGATGATGCTGATGGTGATGATGACGATGCTGATGACGATGCTGATGCTGATGACGATGATGATGATGATGATGACGACGATGATGCTGATGATGATGATGCTGGTGATGGTAATGGTGATGGTGATGGTGATGATGATGCTGATGGTGATGATGACGATGCTGATGATGAGGCTGATGCTGATGATGATGATGCTGATGCTGATAATGCTGATGATGGTGCTGATGCTGATGCTGATGATGATGATGCCGCTGATGAAGATGATGATGCTGATGATGGTGGTGATGGTGGTGGTGGCGATGATGGTATTGATGATGATGGTAATATTGATATTGATGATGATGATGGTGGTGGTGGTGGTGATGATGCTGCTGCTGATGCTGATTCTGCTGATGATGATGATGATGACGACGATGATGATGATGATGATGATGATGACGATGCTTGTGATGGTAATGGTGATGGTGATGGTGATGATGGTACTGATGGTGATGATGACGATGCTGATGATGATGCTGATGCTGATGATGATCATGATGCTGCTGATGCTGATAATGTTGATGATGGTGCTGATGACGTTGCTGATGATGATGATGCCGCTGATGAAGATGATGATGATGCTGATGATGGTGGTGGTGATGGTGCTGGTGGCGATGATGGTATTGATGATGATAATGTTGATATTGATGATGCTGATGATGGTGGTGGTGCTGGTGGTGGTGATGATGCTGCTGCTCATGCTGAGGCTGCTGATGAAGAAGATGATGATGATGCCGGCGATGATGATGATGATGATGCTGGTGATGGTAATGGTGATGGTGATGGTGATGATGATGATGCTGATGGTGATGATGACGATGCTGATGACGATGCTGATGATGATGATGATGATGATGCTGATGCTGATGCTGATAATGTTGATGATGGTGCTGATGCTGATGCTGATGATGATGATGCCGCTGATGGAGATGATGATGCTGATGATGGTGGTGGTGATGATGGTGGTGGTGGCGATGATGGTATTGATGATGATGATGATAATACTATTGATATTGATGATGATGATGATGATTGTGGTGGTGGTGGTGGTGATGATGCTGCTGCTGATGCTGATGCTGCTGATGATGATGATGACGACGATGATGATGATGATGATGATGCTGGTGATGGTAATGGTGATGGTGATGGTGATGATGATGCTGATGGTGATGATGACGATGCTGATGATGATGCTGATGGTGATGATGCTGATGCTGATAATGTTGATGATGGTGCTGATGCTGATGCTGATGATGATGATGATGCCGCTGATGAAGATGATGATGATGCTGATGATGGTGGTGGTGATGGTGGTAGTGGTGGCGATGATGGTATTGATGATGATAATATTGATATTGATGATGATGATGGTGGTGGTGGTGATGATGCACCTGCTGATGCTGATGCTGCTGATGATGATGATGACGACGATGATGATGATGATGATGCTGGTGATGGTAATGGTGATGGTGATGGTGATGATGATGCTGATGGTGATGATGACGATGATGATGATGCTGATGCTGACGATGATGATGATGATGATGATGATGATGATGATGATGATGCTGATGCTGATAATGTTGATGATGGTGCTGATGCTGATGCTGATGATGATGCCGCTGATGAAGATGATGATGATGCTGATGATGGTGGTGGTGATGGTGGTGGTGGTGGCGATGATGGTATTGATGATGATGATAATACTGATATTGATGATGATGATGGTGGTGGTGGTGATGATGCTGCTGCTGATGCTGATGCTGCTGATGATGATGATGACGACGATGATGATGATGATGATGATGATGCTGGTGATTGTAATGGTGATGGTGATGGTGATGATGCTGATGGTGATGATGACGATGCTGATGATGATGATGATGGTGATGATGATGATGATGCTGATGCTGATAATGTTGATGATGGTGCGGATGCTGATGCTGATGATGATGATGCCGCTGATGAAGATGATGATGCTGATGATGGTGGTGGTGATGGTGGTGGAGGTGGCGATGATGTATTGATGATGATAATACTGATATTGATGATGATGATGATGATGATGATGATGATGATGATGATGGTGGTGGTGGTGGTGGTGGTGCTGATGCTGCTGCTGATGATGATGCTGCTGATGCTGCTGCTGATGCTGATGCTGCTGATGCTGCTGCTGCTGCTGCTGCTGCTGATGATGATGATGATGATGATGATGATGATGATGATGATGATGATGATGATGATGATTAGGAGGCGGAGGAGGAGGAGGAGGAGGAGGAAGAGAGGAGGAGAAGGGATGGGAGTTCACCACCAGTTTCTGGGGTCCGAAACTGTCAACGAAACCACCCTGAAAGCCATGTCCCCGAGCTTCCCCCAAGTGGAGGCGAGGAAGAGGAGGAGGAGGAGGAGGAGGAGGAGGAGGAGGAGGAGGAGGAGGGCCAGGCCTTCGTGTGGTCGCCGCTGATGCTGCCAGAGCTCCGCGGCAGCTCCTGGGGTGGTCTGCTTCATGTGACCGACATCATGCCCACGCTCGTGGGGCTCGCCGGTGGTGCTGTCCCAGAGAGCCTCGACGGCGTGGACTTCTGGGCCCCGCTCGTCCACAACAGGACCTTTCTTCAACAATGGCTCGGCGGCGAGCCCCAGGGCGGAGAGTTGGCGGGGGGCTTCTCAGAAGGCTCAGGGGGGGCTGCGCAGGGCGCGAGGGCTTCGGAGCCTTCTCGCAAGAGGCTTCCGAGAGGCTTCTCGGGGCGCGAGGGCTTCCGAGAAGCCCCGCCGCCCTTCTGGGGAAGCTCGTCCCCCCTCCCTTCCCCTGGGCGCGCCACCGACCGGCGTTTCTCCCGAAGTCCGGCCTATCGTTAGGTCGGGCATGTCCCCCCACAGGCAGATTTTGGACGAAAACTTAAAGATTCAAAAACATTCAAAATTAGCCAGGCGAAGGACCCAACCATATGCAGTTGTGAGCACCGTCGTTGTATGCACCGCATTCGGAGGAGCTCCTTATAGGGCCATGAAACGTGTGAGGAGTGTGCCACAATTTGTCCGGTGGGCGCATGCGAAAGCAGCCACTTGGGCCGTCGGTGGAATTCCCTCTTGGGCCACGAAACGCGTGAGAGGTGTGCCGAAATAGGTGCGGTGGGCGCATGCGAACACAGCCACTGGGGCCGTGCCAAAATGGGTGCGGTGGGCGCATGCGAACGCAGCCATTGGCGCCTTCGGTGGAGCTCCCTATGGGGCCACGAAACGCGTCTCTTCTCTCGTCTCCTGCTCTTTCGCTTCGTGCCGGCATGAGCTTCCCGTGCAGTGCACCGCTCGCTCTGACCGGCGCCTGACCGTCTCGCGCACCCTGGCGCCCGCGGACTTAGGGATTGGAGAAGCCAGTCGATCTCGCTTGGGTCAGATCCAGCCTGGGCACTGCGGTCGGCGGCGTCGGGGCAGGAGGGGCGCTGGAGGCAAGACGGGGGGGCCGATGGCCCAGCAGCGGCGCCGCCGTCGTGGGGGTCCGCTGGTCGCGAGGCGGACCCGTGCGACGACGCAGCGCGTGCGCAAAGGATTGGGGCCCCTGCGCGCCTCCAGCATGGCGGGGTCGTCCTGTTCTGTGGGGGCAGGGAGGAGAGGGGGGAGACTCGGGTTTCAGCCTGCGCAGGAAGAGGGGGACTCGGGTTCGGCGAGGCGGCGAACAGAGCTCATGCGTGTGAGTTGCGTAGGGTCCTTTGAACCCTGGCCTTCCCGATGGTCCCGGGTCGGCACGGGATTCAGGGGGGCAGTGGACAGTGCTTGCTTGGGGCGCCGACTACCAGAGGGATCGGTCTCACCGCTCTGGACACGTTATTGGGCAACGCCTGCCGCTGTCTGAGGGGAGGGGGGGGTGGGGGGGGCGGAGGCACGGTTTACCTGGCGCGGAACGGGCAGCTATCCAGCTGCGTACGGCACGACCCGCTCCGTGCCTGGGCTGCGGGTATGAAGCCTATTGAATGTTCGTTGGGATTTCGTGGGCGGCCTCTCGGGGGCCTCTTGGAGGCAGTTTTGAGGCCTCCTGGGGGCCGTTTTAAGGTTTCTTGGGGTCTTTTTTGGATTTCTTGGGGGGCCTCTTGGGGGCCCCTTTGGGGCCTCTTGGGCGTCTCTTGAGGCCTCCTGGGAGCCCCTTGGGACCGAAGGCTCGGATTTTCGGTTCGTGTTACCTCTCTTGGGCTCCTTTTAGGGCCGTCTTGGCGCCCTCTGGGGCCGTCTTGGGCGCCTCTTCGGCCGTCCTGGGGCGCCCTTAGGCCGTCTCGCGGCCCTCTTGAAGGCCTCTTGGGCGTGTTTGGGGTGGTTTGGGGGGCCTCATGGGCAGTCGTGGAGCGTCGGGTTGCCGAAAAGGCGAGAACGCCAGAATCCTTCGACAACCTAAGGACATACAATAATTTCTGCCGCTTGAGGACCTCTTGGGAGGCCTCTTGAAGGCCTCCTCCACCCATTTCGACAGGCTCCGTGACCCCACGGTGAGCCCCACCGAAGGCCCCAGTAGCAGCGCCCGCATGGCGTCACCCCGTCCATTTCGACGCTCTCAGCACACGCTTCGTCACCCCACCTTCGTTCCACCTGCTTTCGGGCATTCACACTTGCATCTGTGTGGTTGGGCCTCTCGCCAGGTCGATTTTCTGATTGGGGTGTCTTTCGCGTAGTCACTCTCCCCGCGTTGTTGGGTCTCCAGGCTGCATGGGCTCCGCGGGCCTGTCTGGATCATTGAATTATTGCATGGATTGTGTTGCCGTTTTTGCTATTTCATGCATGCTGTTTTCGATTCACATTGCATTGGTTTGCGGTGTTTTGTGTTGGAGTGGCACGCGCTGAGATGCGTTGCCTTGCGTTTGCGTTGCTGGATTCCTTTCCGAAGAGCTGGGCGTTGCTAGCACTCTGTCCCACTGCCACTGCGCGTGTTTGTCCATGGCAGCGTTCCGCATTGCATTGTCGTCAATACGTCGCATCTCGATCCACGACCCTGTTCTTTGTTAAACCCATTCCCGATATATGTGCGGGGGCGTGCACGCGTGCAGCTGTGAGCTTGTCAATGGCTGGGGCCTGCTAGAACCTAAGCGCGTACGTGATTATAGCATCTGGTTATTACCATTGGTTGGTCTGTTAGGGTATGTGAATTTGAATGTTTCCCCCCCCCTGCCCCGTAGGGTGACGTGGCTTCGCATATATAGCATATTTGGCGCGGCTGTTGAAAGCAGGCCACTCGTCGGTCGAGGAAGCATAGGAAATCCTAACAGCTGTCAGGCGAGAAAGCAAGCATGCATGCGAGCATGGAATGTTCACGCACGTTCGCAAGCACGCACGCAAGCAACTGCGCAAACAAGCGCGCGATCAATCAAGCAAGCCTGCAAGCAAACACGGAAAGCAGCGAGCCCGATTTACGTCTAGGTTCAAGTTCTGATCCGATCCGGACAGCGGCCCTGGGGCGGCCGAGTCGAGCCGATCTTCCAAGAGCGGGCAAGGGTTCCCGCGCGCGAGCCCACGTGGGGGAAAGTGAGCAGAGCAGGACCTCGCCGAGGCTCGAGATCCTGCACAACGCCGACCCCATCACGCTCTGCTCGCCGGAGAAGCTGGCGGCTGGCACGCCTTGTGACTCCGACTGGGGCGGCGTGCGCAACGCGGCCATCAGGCTCGGCGACTGGAAGCTGATCCGGCGCCAGCCCGGGTCGCCGGCCTCCGGGCGTTTCGAAATGCGGGAGGGGCCACCGAGAGGCGGGGCTGGGATCGACTACGGAAGAGCATCGAGGGGGATCGAGGACCGCGAGGATCGAGGACCGCGAGGATCGAGGGTCCAGCGGGGAGGATCGAGGATCGAGAAGAACCGCGAGGAGGAGGAGGAGGAGCGCGAGGGTCGAGGAGGATCGCGAGGACAGAGGGCGATGATCCTGGGCAGAAGGGGCCCACGGGAGCGGCCCCCTGGGCCCCACGGGTGCCGGAGGCGTGCGCCCGGGCTTCGCCGCCCCCCGCCCTGGTGAAGTCAGGAGGGGAAACAAGAACACAGGCAGAATTCATCGTCGATCCCCCAGGGAAAATCTAGGAGCATATGGGAAGTGGGAGGGGAGACAAAAACCCAGAAAATATTAGAAGATATGTGGAATCCCGTTACTTGTGTCTATCTATTCGTGTGTCCCAGGGCTCCTTCAGCCCCGGTGGAGCCGCGCCCAAGGCCTCCCGGCAGTGGCACGACCGCTGGGTCCCGCCGCCAGAGTGGCAGCCGCCCTGGCAGCTGCTGCAGGCCTCCCCCGAGCCAGGCTCCGAAGGAGAAAGATCGGGCCGGACGAAAGGGGGGGATAGGGATCGGGGGGGGGGGGGTACGAAATTTGCTGCATGCAGCTGGTTTCGGCCCCGCCGGCAGGCCCATTCCTCGATAAATGGGCGCCTCCCGGCGCCGAGAGGCGCTGGGAAAATCAGCGCTATGTGAGCTGATTCTCAAATCCCCCCTCTGCTATCCCGCCGTTTCGCCCGACCCGAGAATGAGCGGCATAGAAAAACAACTTGCGGCGCTCCTCGCGGATTCCTTGGCTCCACATTGGGCCCCCCCAGGCGGCGCCTCTGGCGCAACCCCTGGCGCGTTCCGCGGTCAGTGAGGGAGGGGGGGCCCAGCGCAGATCCGAGAAATCCGCGCGGAACGCCAAAAGCTTGTGTTCATGGCGTTGTTTCTTCTTCTAAGGTTGCTCGCCGTGCACCTTCAGGTCGAGGGAGCAAGCACGATAGCCATGGCCAAGATGTGGTGGGATCTCGTCGGCATCGATCTTGGCTATGATCCATGCCAGACGTCGCCGATCCGCGAGGATGATCTACGAGTCGACGATGTCCAAGACGGACGACGACACAGATCGATACCGACGAATCCGTCTTCAATCTCTGTCATGGTAGTAGTTTTCTTTCCCTCCATCAGGAGCGACTTTCCTGACACGCTGCCCGACACCCAGATCTGCCTCTTCAACATCACCAGCGACCCGGAGGAGCGCTGTGACCTGGCTGGGTCTCACGGCGCGATCGTGCAGGTCCTTTTGAGGCGCTTGGACGTGTTCGAGGGTTCCGCCGTGCCGGTTAGGTTCCCGCCGCGCGTGCCCGACAAGTGCAATCCGGGTCGGTTCAACAACATCTTCCAGTGGTGGGCTGAGCCCAACGGCACGACGGCACAGGCGCTGCTCACGAGCCCCTACAGGCTCTGAGTTCGGCCCCCGTCGCCTGGAAGCAACGGCAGAGACCGGGGGCAAGGGCTGGGCAGGTCCTATTGTGCCCTGAGGCTACGCGTTCCCGCTGCTTGCGAAGCATACCCCTCGCGGGTTTCTTTGTCGCTGTTTGGTGAAGGCTTGCGGCTTAGTTTTCTCTTGCCGCATCCGCTGTACACAGTGAGTCGGCAAGCCCTTCACCCATATTGCAGCCTAGTCGCACGTTTCAGCGAAGTGGCATGTGCGTGTGTGTGTGTGTGTGTGTGTGTGTGTGTGTGTGTGTGTGTGTGTGTGTGTGTGTGTGTGATGAGGTTGGGGACCATTCCGCCACATGTTTGACAGGATTGCAGCAGATCTTCCACTTGGATTGTCCAGCTGCTTGCTGCAAATCCCGTCACTGTGCCTTTGCAGCAGGGCAGCAGGAAGAAGGTTGAACTTTTTGGGATTCTCGTGGGGGCTCATTGGGGCCCTCTTTGCGGCTTCTGCTGGGAGCCTGTCGAGCGCCAGTTGGAGGTCTCTGGGTCGTCTTTTGCGCAATGATGCCATGGAGCTCTCCCCGAAGTTTCGGTTGAGCCTGGGACGTGTGGACGGGCCTTGGGTCGCCTTGGAGCCTTCTTAGGCCACATCAGGGAGCTCTCGCGCAGTCTTGGATGTATCTTGGAGCGCTCTTGGAGCCGTATTGGGAGCCTCCCTAGTGCTTCCTGATGGCCTCGAGGCGATCTGAAGCTCACAATCTGCGGAAGCAACCAGAAAGTTGAAGCACCTACGGCTTTTCAATGCTGTTCACCTCGAAGGGCCTCGCGGGAGGCCTCCTGGGGCATCTCCTCGAGCCTTACGTGGGCCTCGCAGGGCAGTCGGGGGAGACGCTGGAGCCTCTAAGGGCCCCTTGTGCCGCGTCTTGCTGGGCTCCGGGCCTCTTGCAGCAGTTGTTGGGGGAGTTGCTTCTTGATGTTGGACCCAAGGGGGGCTGCCTTTCGAAAACTGCCGACACCCAAGCAGGCAGCATTTTGTGTTCCCCCCCCCAGCGTCCCCACCTGTCTTAAGTCGGGCCTGTCCCTCTACAGGGGGGAATCTTTAAAGAAAATCATAACACAACAAATAGTCTGGGGGCGATGTTTGGGGAATTGTTTGACAATTTTGGGGTCTGTTTTGACTGTTTTTTTAAATTTGTCGTCCACAATCCCCCTGTAGGAGGACAGGCCCGACTGAACCCTGGTCTGGCAAGTTGAACAATAGCCAGGGCTCCCAGAGGTGCGGCCAGCCCCCCTGCCAGCGGCAGAGGAGAGGGGGGGGGGTCGGAGGGGGAGGCGGAGTCACTCAGAGGAGGGAAAGGTGACCCCATGCCCTGGATAAGCAATCATCCCCCCGCGTTACGCCCCAGGTCTTGATTATCTCCGGCCACGACAGAGTTGGTCGGGGGAGCGGGGCGGCGAGGCCGAGCTTCAGTATCCCCGGGGAAAGTTAAGAATCGAAGTTGTTATCTTCATGTTGAGAAGAAGCATTATCACGAACATGTGGCAGGGCTATGGGCGTCTCATCATGTCAGCTATCGACGTGCTATCCGTACATCCGCACGTGCGACTCGCCGGAACAAAATATTTACTTATCCCCCGGAACCCCGAACTTTCTGATCTCCGGGGGGTTACTATTTGGGGCACTCGGTTACCAATACCCCTACCCTTCCCTCGTTTTCCCCTTCTTAGGCCTCCTCGGAGGCCCTCGTCGCCATGGCTGGATCTGCCACGAAATGCTGGTCAGAGCGCGCCCCGGGAGAGGTCCAGGGAGCCGCGGTCTCGGCACCGTGTTGGTTTCCCCGGTCAAGGGAAAGGGGAGGGGGGGGCAATGGCTCCCACCGGCCGAGCGGCTCACGGCCGCGCAGCTCGCAGCATGGCACGCCCCAGTCTCGGACGGCGGAGCCGTACCTGTACCCCACTTGTGCTGCCAGGCGTCGCGCGGTGCTCCGCCGTGGTCCGTCCCCATGCTGCTCCCTGCCGTTCGGATCGCCACGGTGCACCTCGCCTTCTGGATGCCAGAGTCGTGCGGCCGATCCCCACTGTGCCGCCGGTCGCAGCCGAACTGGCCACCTGCGCGCTGCTCGCCACGCTGCCTGGCCTTGGTGTGGCGCGAGGCGTGGCATGGCACCGTCCGCAGCCGGAGGGCGCGGACCGCGGCGGGGGCGATAGGGAAAGGGGGGGGGGGTACGAAATCTGCTGCATGCAGCTGGTTTCGGCCCCGCCGCCGGGCTCATTCCTCGACACATGGGCGCCTCCCGGGTCCGGGAGGCGCTGGGAAGACCGGCTGCGTGAGCTGATTCTCTACCCTGCCCTTTGCTATCCCCCCCTTTTCGTTCCCCCCGGGGAGAGGACCCCGCGGGACGTCCAGCCGTCGGCGGGCGCCTCGTCGCTCGGGGGAGGCTGCTGCGGCTGACGCCAGCCTCCCCCGTGAGGCTCCAAGGGGGCCGGGCGGCTGGAGTGGTCGCCTGGGCGATAGCCCAGGGATAGCTGCTGGTGCGGGTGGCCGGAGCCGTGCTGCTGCTCCCCGCCGTTCTGCTGGACGTCACATTGCTGGTCTCCCGCAGCACGCCCACTCCTGGATTCGGGCGATCGCAGGTAGGGATCAAGGTGGCGCAGAGTAGCGTCGGGTCCCGTTTCCATGGGACATCGCAGATTTCCGCCGCCGAGCGAGGCGGCACCGGCCGCATTTTGGGGAGGGCATGTCCCCCGATCCATGGATTTGGCGACCGCGCGCCAAGTCCATGGATCGCTAATCCATGTTTGCGCGCCCCCGAAGCATGCCCACTCCTGGATGCCAGGGTCGTGGCTGGGCGACGTGTTGCTGGTCGCCCCTGTGCTCCTCGAGCCCGCGCTGCTTGCCACACGGGTCGCCCCGCGTCCGGGTGTCAGGCACGTGCTGCCGCTCCCCACTGTGCTGCTGGGCGTCGTGCTGCTGGCCGCCGTTGCGCTGCCCATAGCCGACCCGCTCGCCGCACTGCCCGCCGATCTCAGAGTTGTGCTGCTGCTCCCCGCTGTGCTTGACGTCGTGGTCCTTGTCGCCGCCGGCACTTGTACCGAATACTGAACATGATGGAGGAACGTCAGGGACGTCAGGGTCGTGAGGCTGTCTGCGCCGCTTGGCAGAGACTAACGGAAATGGTCGCTCGTCCGTGTCACGGAATTGCGATGCGCGGGACCTTTGTCAGACGGCACGCCCGACAAATGGGCCGACGCGCCCGGAGTTGGACTCCTTGTGAACATTCGAAAATCATTCTCGGCTCTTCTGCTGGGACACGCTGGCTTGCCCACATATCCCTGAAGTGTGTGGCGGCATTTCTGGGCTCTATGCTGTCCCTTGCCACATTACCCTGCTGGTGCCACCGATATGGCTGCACTACGTCACGCTGCCCAGCGAGGTGGGGCCTGGAGTCGTGGGGCCGCACTCCGTCGTGCTGCTCCGCATCGCGCTGCTGGCACGCGCCACGGGATGATCTAGAGGGCTGGTCGAGACAGCAGATCATTATTCTAACACGCGCCACCGTGCCGATGGCAGCATGATTGCGGCATATTGCGGCACAGCGTTGCCACCTGCGTTTCCAGGCCACCGTTCGGTACATCAGCTTCCTCCGGGTAGGCTGGCCAGGGGGTTGTGCCAGGTTCGCCTCTTTTGACCCTGCGCCTGGCACATGCATGCATGCGCCACGGGTGCTGGTGCCAGTGTGGAGCGCGAGTGACCACACGCGGCATCCTGGTATGGAAAAGGGGACGCGCGCGCACTTCGAGACCCCTCTCCAGCAGCTGGGACCCTCCGCCCGAGCGCAGCGACGCGCGGTGGCGGCGGCCCTCGGCCGCTCCGCGCCCGGCCCCGTGGGGAGCCGCCGTCCGCCCGCGGCCCGCAGCGAGGCCCCACGCGGCCACGCGTGTGGCTGCCGCCGGGGCCGCTGAGGCCAGGGGGGCCCGCGAGCGAGCCCCGAGGCCCGGCAGGCGCCCTCGGCGCCCTCGGGGCGTGCCGGAGAGGCGGCCAGGCCCCCGGGGGGGGGGAAGGTCCCCCCCCCCTCCCCGGCAGGCAGCGAGCGCCGCCCGCTCGGCCAGGACGTGCCCCGTCGGCGCGCCCGCAGGGGGCGCTGGCGACGGCCCGCCGAGCGCGCCGCCTCCGGCCTGCGGGAGCGGCGTCGGGGGCGCCCCGGGCAAGACGAGCTGCGACGGCGCCTGCAGGAAAGGCCTGGGACCGCCAGCGGGGCGCGGCTGCGGCGCAGGCAGCGTCCCCCCCCCCCCCCCCCCCCCCGAGGCCCCTGCCGCCGCGCTTGCCGAGCGCCCCCCGCGCGGAGCTCGTCGAGCGCGGCCTCGGAGCCGCCAGCCTCGAGGGAGGCGGGGGCGCGGACGCGGCTCTCTAGGACTCGGGGCACGCAGCCGCGGCGGCGCGGCGGCGATTCCAGCGCGGGCGTTCAACGTCGAACTGCGATAGTGGACCGGAGTTGGATGACATCGAACGATTTGCCATCGGAAAGCCGTGATTTTTCAAGGTGCCACGATCCACGCGGTGCCAGCAGCCAGCGCGCAAGTCGTCGAGGCGTGAACGCGCAGCGTGACAGCACGTGCAACTCGTTTGAAAACCCGATGTTCGGCTATTCAATCCAATCGTATCGCTTCGCTGTGCCAGAACTGCGGTGAGAACTCCCGCGGCTTGGCAACAATGCACATCTGACCCATTTTGTCCCTGGTGGCGCGGTCACCAGAACTGCGGTGAGAACTCCCGCGGCTTGGCAACAATGCACATCTGACCCATTTTGTCCCTGGTGGCGCGGTCATTTTTTGCCATAGCTGAGCTTTTGGCAGCTGTGGGATCGATCGCGTATCGTTGCCCGCCCTTGCTAGTTGAATTCTCGTTTGTGCGCCACCACGTCTGACAAGCACGTCAGCGTTGGTGACTGCTCGAGTGGAAAAAATTATCCTGGCGAATGACCCAACCATAAGCAATTGTTCGTAACGCGTTGTGGGTGCCGCTTTCGGTGGGGCTCCCTATGGGGCCACGAAACGCTGCCTTGGGTGGGGGAACCGCATGCGAACTGCGCCATTGGGGCGGGCCTTCGGTGGAGCTCCCTATGGGGCCACGAAGCGCTGCCCTGGGTGGGGGAACCGCATGCGAACTGCGCCACTGGGGCCCTCGGTGGAACTCCCCATGGGGCCACGAAACGCTGCCCTGGGTGGGGGAACCGCATGCGAACTGCGCCACTGGGGCCTTCGGTGGAAATCCGTATGGGGCCACGAAGCGCTGCCCTGGGTACGGGAACCGCATGCGAACTGCGCCACTGGGGCCTTCGGTGGAGCTCCCTATGGGGCCACGAAACGTTGCCCAGGGTGGGGGAAACGCATGCGAGAGCAGCCACTGGGGCCTTCGGTGGAGCTCCCTATGGGGCCACGAAGCGCTGCCCAGGGCGGGGGACACCGCATGCGAGAGCAGCCACTGGGGCCTTCGGTGGAGCTCCCTATGGGGCCACGAAACGCTGCCCAGGGCGGGGGAACCGCATGCGAACTGCGCCACTGGGGCCTTCGGTGGAGCTCCCTATGGGGCTACGAAACGCTGCCCAGGGTGGGGAAATCGCATGCGAGAGCAGCCACTGGGGGGCCACGAAACGCTGCCCAGGGCGTGGGGAACGCATGCGAGAGCAACCATTGGGGCCTTCGGTGGATCTCCCTATGGAGCTACAGAACGCTGCCCAGGGTGGGGGAACCGCATGCGAGAGCAGCCACTGGGGCCTCCGGTGGAGCTCCCTATGGGGCTACGAAGCGCTGCCCAGGGTGGGGGAAACGCATGCGAGAGCAACCACTGGGGCCTTCGGTGGAGCTCCCTATGGGGCTACGAAACGCTGCCCCGGGTGGGGGAAACGCATGCGAGAGCAGGCACTGGGGCCTTCGGTGGAGCTCCCTATGTGGCCACGAAGCGCTGCCCAGGGTAGGGGGGAATGCATGCGAGAGCAACCACTGGGGCCTTTTTTTTATGCCAATGCTAACCGTGCGCAGCGCACGGCTCCGCCACCTCCACCTCTAGGCCCGCCGCCACGAGGAAGAGTAAGCCCTGCCCGCCGCCGACCTCGAACACGAAGCCGAGGGAGGAGGGCGCGCGCCGCGGCCACCCGCGCCAAGGACGGGGCCCGCCGCCGCCGCGAGCCAGCGAGGCCGCCGAGCGCCTTGGGCGCGGCAGCCGCCGCGGCGCGCCCCACCGCCGAAGGGTAGGGCGGAGCGGGGCCTAGACCCCCCGAAGGGGCGGCACCCCCGCTAGCGGGGCCCGCGTCCCCGCCTGCGCCCGGCCCCGGAGCCCCCAGCAGCCGCTCCAGAGTGGCGCGCCGCCTCGACGAGCGCGCGCCCCTCCTCCGTGGCCGCGATCCGCTCCGCCTCGGACTCGAGGGCGCCGAACATCGCCAGCAGCTTCGCGCGGCCAGCGGGCAGGCGCTCCGCGCGGAGCCCCAGGCGCTGGAAGGCCGAGTGCAGGCGGGCCTTGAGCTCCGCCACCGACTCCTCGGCACCGTCAGCACCAGCGCCATCCGCGGGCGCCGCGACGATCGCCACCGTGGCGGCCCGACGAACGTCGTCCGCCCACTCGTCGTCGTCCAGGTCGGACGCACATGCGGCAGCCTCCGCCCCCAAGCCAGGCCAAGGGCCCGCACCTGCGGCAGCGGCAGCGTCGCCAGCGTCCGCGCCACGGACGACGTCGATGTCCATGACCTCGCCAGCGGCATCGGCGGGCGCGGGAGCACCCGCCGCCTTCCGCGCAGCGCGGCGCGCACGGCGCCGCCGACGCCGCGCGGCACCAGCCACGGGGTCGGCGCCGCCTGCAGCGCCAGGAGGTCCGTCAGCAGGAAGTTCGCCAGCGGCGGGGACGCGGTCGGCGGCCGCAGGCGTCTCGGAGCACCCGAAGAGTGCTGCCGAGATCGCCGAGCGGGCCACCGCCGCGACAGTGCGCCGCGGCGCATTCGCAGCGACCGCCCCGCGCACAGCCGCCTCGACGAGGGCGGCCGCCAGCGCGGGGGCGGGAGCCCCTCTAGCCCGCGGCGCGGCGGCCATCGCAGGGACGGCGGGCCGCGCTCCAGGCATGCGAACGCTTGAGCCAAAATGGCTACGGAGACCACTGGGGCCTTCGGTGGAGCTCCCTATGGGGCTACGAAACGCTGCCCCGGGTGGGGGAAACGCATGCGAGAGCAGCCACTGGGCCTTCGGTGGAGCTCCCTATGGGGCTATGAAACGCTGCCCAGGTTGGGGGAAGCGCATGCGAGAGCAACCACTGGGGCCTTCGGTGGAGCTCCCTATGGGGCCACGAAGCGCTGCCCAGGGTTGGGGAAACGCATGCGAGAGCAGCCACTGGGGCCTTCGGTGGAGCTCCCTATGGGGCCACGAAACGCTGCCCAGGGTGGGGGAAACGCATGCGAGAGCAGCCACTGGTGCCTTCGGTGGAGCTCCCTATGGGGCCACGAACTGCTGCCCAGGGTTGGGGAAACGCATGCGAGAGCAACCAGTGGGGCCTTCGGTGGAGCTCCCTATGGGGCTACGAAACGT